CTTATCTATTTCAATAGGTAATATTTTCTAATATTTAAGCTATTTCATGGCAGTGTTAGAAAAGCCTAACAGGTTGACTTTAAACAAAATAAAAACGATAGTTTATTAGTTCACTTGGAACAGATTGCGAGACAAAATCGAACGAGCTGTACTCAAAAACCATCTCCACGTGGGAAGTTTGAAGGTTCCAGATCCATCAGTCCGAGCCGATAGCCTCAAAATTACCTGGATTAAGAGGATATTTGACCATTGCTTCAAAGCTAAGTGGAAGGAACATATACAATGTAGACTTAAAGACAAAATGTCACTGCTGCACTGTGACATGAACCCTAAACAGGCACCGAACTTGTTAGATGGGCGTGTATTTTGGTCAGAGGTAATAAAAGTCTGAACGCGAATCACACGGTTATTACAGCCTAAGCTGACGGGAGGAAATAGTCTAGCCGAAGTTCCATGGAACAATTCCGACATAAATTTAGAGGACAACAAGTCTATGAACAAACGTCAGCTGATACACCATTCATTTGTCCAAATAACTGACCTATATGACTACCGGAACCGAAAGCTTCCGAGTGCTAATCAACTGCACATCAATGCGGGTGCGGGGCGTTTTTCACCTGGCGGTCCATACTGCATGGAAATCCTCGGTTACGGAGAGAGGGTGCTGGTGCAGAAAAAGCCTACTGCTATCAGCCGTCCTTGCACATATGACCCATAACGCACATGCACGGGCACAGCAAGGGTGGGGTTATAATGCGCTTTTGTCACCAGCACACAATGTCCTGCCTATACACTCGCAAGTGAAATGGTAGCCAAAGATAGGGACCATAAGTAAAGAACAATGGTCACATATATAGAGCCATATATTCCACAGCTGGTGACTTTAAACTTAAGTGGCCACAGCTGAGAATTTGCGCAGGATTTTACAGACGCATCGCATGCTGCACATTTACGTGATTAACAATGCAGGTCACTGTCAGCGCTGTCAGGGTCACACAGAGAATATCCTACGGGTTTTCCGGTCCTTGCCTGGGTCGTTGGCATTCTGGGTCGACCTAAGTACACGTATGCGGCTTGGCAGGCAATTTGCAATGGCAGCAGGTCATCAACAACCTATACCCTTCTGTTGCGTCTGACGAAACACTGTCTGTGCCCGCTATCCGCCTTTGTGCGCTGTTGGGTAAGCAGTATGTGTGTTAATATCGTAAACCACCGTGCGATCCATCCATTGCTGGTTTCATCCGATTTATTCGTAAATACTTCGATGTGGAGACAGCTGAGGCAAGGAGCACAAACACAGCTGATAACTTCAACCAGTTGTGGTCAGTAACTACAGATATTGGCGCTGAATCTACCAGAATGAAAGTTACGTCAGCGGAGTGTACTGCTATCGCGTGATGGATGCTGAAGTACGGGGCACTGTCAATGGATGTGACTACGTGTGGATATATATCAACCGCCGGTGGAGTTCAGACTAGTGAAAAATCCAGTCCGCTGAAGACATCTAGTGCGCCAGACAGTACCATGCACGGGCTATTCAGCATATCAATGTTCATAATCGTACACACAGCTCAGGCCGTGAACGATGATAACGACGATGACGAAAATAACGACGACGACG